CCCTCGGTCGATTTTGCAATGCTGATAGCTGTCCGATAAACTGAAAAAGCCCATGGTTGGCACTTAGGGGAAAAGTTTCATAAAACTCTTAACCACTTTTTGCGCCGTCAAATCACGATTCATGTAGTCTACCCCAAGTTCAAGAGATAGTGATCAGTCGATCATGTCACGACACTATAGTTAACTATATTTTAATATAAGTATATAAACGTGGTCGTAATTATTGTTCGGAGCCTTCTGCGTGATATGGATATAAGCTCGCACATATGTTTCACTAATCGCTACTACAAGATTTCGATAACTGCAAAGCAGTGGGAATTAATACAACTCTGCTTTGGTCCAACAGTTGTCCTATCAACCGATCAGATAGGCGGAGATTTGCCCGACAACAAATGCTCGGCCAACTCTTGTTCATGTCGGAACAAATTACTGTATCAGATACCCATGCACTCATTGCTAATATAATATTTATACCAACTAAGTTATTAAATCGCAAAACATAATTTGTGGAATGAAAACAGATATGTTGCATTCGGATTTCCATAAAGGTAGGAATCACCGATCAGTTGATAAAATCTTAATTATGAAATCCCTGTTACATATTTTATGGGACAGAATATGACTGTTCAAAATATGGAGCTTATCGTCGGCCATTTGTTGTTTTTTTGGTCCACATTGTTGCAAAATTATATTGGCATTTTGTTACATCAATTATGAGCTTGCAGAACCATGGGTTGCTTGTTATGAAGAAATTAGCTATCGGCTGTAGCTATTTAACTCAATAAATTTTGACGCAGTCAGCTATCATTAGCGAGCCTGAGAATAAAATTACATGCACAGCAGTCAGCACTAGGCAGTGCATGCGTAAAACCGCTCTCGGTTAGCCCGCTGATGTGCGGGTATTATTCATGACGGCAATGTCGAAAACCAGTGGCTGGTTCTGCCACGCTGAAAAACGTAAACATGAAACTTTGGAAGTTGCAATGTCGACTACAACAGCTAAGTATCCGGGGATTGTACTAAATGATAAAAAAACAACAAAAGCTCAGGAGTTACAGCAGAAACGTGCTAATTTGGGCTTCAATCTCGAACAGCGGTCCTACCATGCAATTAGTTTAAAGATACCATACCGCGCACGACCACATGCATTGTCAACACGGCGATAAATTGCGCCGATAGCATTGAAACGGATCCCGCTATCTCTTGCTAGCAGAAACAACGGCGCTGATAGTGATGTTAATTAATTTGCTCATGTTCCGCGTGATTGATGAGCCCACGATGGAGAGGTAGTTTATAATAAGAGGGAATTTTATCTTATTAAAGTGGAAGTCAAGTCCGTTTTGTAAACAAACGGTTTGTTACAGGACAATGCGCAGAACCACAGAGGCAGAACACACTTGACTTCCACTTTAACGAGCCACTCCGAGTCTGCGACTTCGTAGGATTAATTTTTTTTGTCTACTACTTGCACATGCTAAAAGCTCGTAATTTCAAATTCATTTCGAGTGATTTTATACATGAAAACTTTCTGTTTGGCAATTAAATTTTGTCATAGTCCAGTATACGTGTTTATTTTATCTGCCCTTTTAGCAGTCAGTAAAAGTTTTCTCTTAGCTAGAGGTCTCTAGGGTTTGCTTGTTTGTTAACGTAGCTATAACAAAGATTACAACGAGACAATGATTTTGGAACTGGCGAATTTTGTTTTTGTTTGCCAAGATAATACAAAAATAGAGATGCAGTCCTTACTTACGAATCGATTTATATGATTATTAAACTGCAAAGTCAGTGTAGGTGGAAAACAATAAAACAAATATTTATTTAAAGTACTTCTGGCACAAAATTTTATTTAATATTCTTAGAATCTTTGATGTCTATATGTTATACATGTAACAATTGAAAACCTCTGTTACGTAGTCAGTGAGTTATCTACGTTTCAACAAGTTTCTAAGAAGGTAATTACAAAATCCAATTTTGTGCTAGGCTCGATCACTTTAAGCATGCTCCTTTCGAAATGCCAACTGTAACAATTCATCGCGTTGAAAATGAAATTCAAAATGGCGCCCTCGTTATATTGATATATCAAGTGAGTTTTAGGCATGAATCAGCTCTTGTGGGCAGCTGTTGTACCACTATTCATGTTATCTGAAAATGGCCCAAACACTATAAAGATAGGATAGTATATAAAGATAACATTCAAAACAGTTTTTTCCATACTGGGCATGCTGCGACTTCATATCTTGGATATAGTCTGTTCTGAAATATTGCACCTGCCAAAATCGTTTTTAAATCTTAATTGAAAAACTTGGTTAATTTCTCTGTTCGTAAAAGTGTCGAAATTTTTTAAATTGGCGTAACGCGTGTTCAAACTCATCAATACGAGTGATTCGAACCGGCCATTCAGTCAAACGTAACAATGGACCATCGCCCTGTTAAACTAAAATCAGTAAAACTAGGGAATAGTGATTAGGACAGACAGAAAGAGCATGCCAAACTTACGGTTAAATTAAATTGGAAGGTTTGGTTGAGAATTATGGCAAAGTATTGAAAAATATAACCGTTCGATGTTGGCCAATTGTGTATAAATTAGTATTACTCGCGAAAAATTGTAATAATAATTTATGACTAATTTATCAATTTCCCAGAGCTATATTTTTTGGATATTCTACACGTTTGCTGCTGAGTGAGTCAGTTACGCATGTTCAAAGTAAGAGCTCTGATACATCGGAGCATTCGTAAATAGTATGTATGTATGTATGTAAAACTTTATTTAAAACACTAGCCCCGACAACAATACGTTGATTTCCACGGGGGGCGTCTACAAGATTAAAAATTACAAAAATATAGGAAAATAAACGCTATGTACAAGTTGGTGTGACCCCGGCCGGATATTATGCTTAGAATGTGTTAGAATATATTCGTTAGACTATATAGGATTAATTTCAGCCTTGATCTATATACATCTGCAAGCGATTTTCGAGGCATGCGCATGCAGTATATTGCGAAGAACGTCATGTAAATTAAACTAGCGGAGAGATGTAATCGAGGCTCCTTTCCTTTTACTACTTTATTGATATCTAAACATAACCGATGACAAAAAAAGCTCACAGGTGCGTTTAGTGCATGAAACACAATATGCAGTCTGTTTATTTATAAATGAACGTGGTTAAGAGCAGAATTTTATAACCTGAAATCGCTCAAGACAAAAACAATCACTTGTAGAACTCTTTTTAAGTCTGAATTATGCATTTAATACTTAGGATCTGCGATGCAGAGAAACCTTTTTACTTTGATGAAGAATATTTCAACCGCGGCAGTGTGTTTGTACATGCCCCTTAAACAAAATACGTTATCTTCAAGATCTTGGAGAATTGTTGCACCTGTTTTTTAGTTATCTCTGTTTATGTTCCTCTCATTCGAGATATATCTTATTCTTTTCCGTGCAACAACAAAATATCAAAATTTGGATGCTAAGTGTTAGACATAATTAAAACACGTAATGCATAATTTATGCATGAAGCGACAATATGTTGGACACTTTCCGTTATGATAAATATTAAACTTTTTTTCGACAGATTTGTTTGGAAAACAGGCGTTTTAATCACGTTTTAAAGCGAGTAAATACGATCGGTTTCTGCAACGATCGGACTAGAAGATTCCAGGTTTTTTAAAAAATTTCATTAATAATATTTGACACATTCATTGACAATTACTACATGTACTAATATGCATCATTATCGTTGCAATCAATATGTTTAGCACGTCAGCTCTGGTCTCTATGACTACGCCGGACAGTTACCAGACTCGATGTCGCCTTCGTAAAAAAATGGCGGGTGGTTAAAATTAAAAAAAAAATCAGCGAATACGCGTTGCTACGGTTTTAACTTTTGAAATGCTCCGTTCCCCGCGTGGGTCTGTTTGTATCAATGTAGCATGTGTTAGCTATCTTTGTCTGAGCTTTGCATGACCCAACCGTTGTTAGTTAAAAAAGTCAGGTAAAAAAATTGTCGGCTAAGACAAACCGTTTTCATGATCGATTTATTCTCAAATAATTATTTTTAGGCTCCACATGCTGTATATAATCCGCTTATTTCTTAAGAAGTTCCCAAACATCATTCTATGTCGAGTCAACAAACTAAACCAATTTAGATTCATTACATGTGTGCAAAATCCTGCCCAATTAAACCCACAGCGTGTTCGTAAATACTGTTCACGTAAATATTTGTCTGAGAGAGTTTCTTATTCTAACTTATAGAAAGTGCATATATATATAAATATAGCTTGTAGATAAAAATATTCTGATGAAAAGAATCCACATGCGAAATTGATGGAAAACACGTTAGTACAAATTACATTATTATTCCAAGATTCTAAAATCTATTTCATGGAATTCAGAAATGTAACGTAACTCTCACTAACACAACCTATCATGCGGAAACAATTATAGAAGCATATTTATAACTGGCTTGATTATTTTTGCCTCGATACATGAAATATTTGTTTACCTTTATGGAACAACAGTTAGTATATAGCCAATGCTTTTTAACCCAATAGATTTAAAAAACTGCTCATTCATTCAGGTCTCGGACTGAAACTGAATTTTCACTGTCTTTTATTGCCTACAAAATTTGACCTGTTAGCAATCTGGTATATCGTGTAGACGAGTGCATAATTAATTCGTTGATTTCTATAGGTCTTTTTCAATTCGTGCATGCGTGAGGTAGCTAAGTAATGCGTTGCGCAAGTTCGTTCTTATCGTAATTTTATTTGTCGAAGATATTTACGAAAACAAACACATGAGTTTAAGAATCAATTTATCTTCGACTAAATATTTTTGTGCTAACGCCAGATGACGTTATCGGTTCATGAGGCAGCATATTTAAATGATGTGCGACAAAGCTGGACTATGCCATGCATTTAGACTGCCGCTTCCGAGTGAATGGTTAGATAACATCAAACGCCAAAAATATTTTCAAGGCAGAAATTTGCCACCGCAGAAACCGTAATTATATCTTGTTATGAAAATTACCCCAGCGAATACGGGAGTATAAATGAGCAAGGAGCTGTCTAATCGTAACGTTAACTAGTGCATCGCGAGCCGTTTGAGGGTCATCTCTGAATAATGTTGAACGCGTGACCAGGACTTTGTTATCGTCAACGGCCTTCCTCAGCTGAAGTTCAATCCTAGTGGTAAGCTGTTTTTGTATGAAGATTTAGATATAGCAATGCACACTCGGAAAACGCTAGCACTAGCTATAATCACTGTGATTTTATGATTCTAAAGTGATGTAACCTAGCTTTGATGTAAAATCAATGCGTAAATTCATTCTCCGGCATATTGGACCGTCTATACACTTAGATGCGATTTTTGTCTCTCCCGATTGACATTCACAAGTGGATGAGTCATGGATCTTCCATAAGGGCACTTGTGGCATCAGACGGCATTTGTCAGCCATTCGCTCATTCTGTGCCTCACGAAAAAACCGCATCGGAAACTAGCACAAAAATTGCAACATGTTGTTTGCGCCGTCCTGCATGCGCGTGCATCAGTAAATGCCTTGCGGTTTTTTATATACAATCCTTTCCCATGCTGATAACGATGAACCCGCGAGCAAAAAAGATATAGCGATTCCTTTAAATCAGCCCTTTTTTATACGATCCATATTTAGTCGACCTCTAATTTCCGTCTGAAATTGTTATTCAGTTCGATTCAGACAAAATCGTCGAACGGCAATAAACATCGAATTTTGCCGCGTAAAAGTACGAAGAGCGGTTACTGATAGACAAGCATGCACACATTGCTATCAACATGACGTACCTGACCAAATCATATCAATTCATGTCAGAATACAGGCACAAAAATATACCGCGTGTAGCTGCTTTGGCCTGAGGATTGAAAAAGGCGTAACCGGTCGTGCTTACGTTAATGGGAGCGGTCAATGTCATATTGTAATCATGCACCCATTTTTGTCAAGGTCAGTTATAAGAAAACCTTTATAGAAATCCAACATGCATAGCTGGAGGATATAGATAGATATGTAAAATACTAAACTTACGTCTGTACTCTAAAAGCTAAGGTAAGCTAACTTACTCTCAAACTTTTTAGTATAGATTCTGGCAATCAAGAAGCTTTCTGCAAATAATTTACCCCGTTCCATTTTCAGAAAATTACGTAGTAGCTGTACAAGCATTCTCCAGCAATGCTGCTAATTACGTGTTCAAATACACACATCTCGCGCGGTAGGATTTTAAGTGGGTGGAATGAAACGGTCTACGAGCATGCAGTTAAACCTATATAATCTTCGCGTTGGCCTGTCCCTGCATCGCTGTTCTGCCTCTGCCGTCTCACGCTTGGTTTCCTAAAAAATAAACTTATAATCAAACATTTTTATCTCGTGTGGTCTGCGGTAGAAAATAGGCATTTAAGCATTTTGAAAAGATCAACTTTTTATCACCCTCATTTTTCACCTAAAAAACGCGATTTCATTCTACGAATTTCAGAGGTTAACATTCATAACTTCTCCGCAAGTATTCCAAGAAATTTCTTAATGGCGAATTGGAATTTTCGCTCAAAGTCCATCAAACATGTTTTTCCTAACTTTGCGGTTTAACTCCCAACGGTGGCATGCAGTGGCATTAAATAAGTGAACAAAATTGAGGTTAAATTTAAAAGGGACACCGTGGCGATATATTGTGGGCAGAACAAAAAGGTTAAACTGTTAACGTAACCTCATTTATTAACATCATTCTAACTGCCAATCTGACTGGAGCCCGCTTGCCGAGCATCCACGATTGCACGCTGTGAGAAATTGAATATACAGAAGATATGTCTCGCTGTTTTGAAGGTCAGAGGGTTGGACTAGTTTTGGGTTTGGAAATTATAAACAGCGAAACATCGACAGTTTCTTCCCCTATAATATATCTTCTCTAAAAATTAACTGTGTCTTCTACTGTGAAAAGAAGAGAGTAGCATTCCGACAAACCGAAATTCGGAATTTTACGGATCAAATTTAAAATACATAAACTTACAAAACTACAGTTATAGGACGAAAAGTTACAGACAAGCACAATAAACAATATACTTTACGGAAACGTGTCTCGTCAATTTCTTCCGTATCTTTACTCGTATTAATTTGACAACTTTTCATGTACAAGACTTTTTTTTCGATTATTTTAGATGTTTAAAATTGTGCATGTATATCTATAGCTGTATAGAGTTTTATCTATAAGTAAATATATTAAGATTAAAGGCTGTTCTTCATCCACTCTGAAAACGTGTGCATGCAATTACAACTATTTCGTCTGTATGTAAACATGTAGCTAAAAAAACAAAAAAGCCAAATAAAGTATAAATTAATCATACAATTAGGCCAGCTTTGAACGATATGGGAAAGATTATGTCTCTTGTTCAACAACACAATAAGTTTCCTACGCAAACAGCAGAAACTTGAACTCGCGTGTGAACACTATATACAGATTTTATCATGTCCCCCAAAATGTCTACTTAATGACGTTGTCATTTAGTCAAAAGAAGGTTATCGCTGGCCTGTGCGCTGATACGCATCAACCGCAAAACACGTGCTTCGATGAAAACGTATATAGCTGCTTGCTATATTAGTAATCGCGTATATATAATGCCATTAAAATTTATGCAAATTCCCGCGCGTCACGGCTGCCAAATTATTGGCCAATAGCCGCGTCAAACTCGGATATAATTATCTTTCGTGATGACATTCGAGCAATTGGAACGAAATTGCAGTTCAGATCATATGTATATACTGCAAGGCTATCGTGGTCTTAATCATTTGCATTGTTATTATTACCTTGCAGAGTTGAACTTGGCTTCACGCTTTCTATTGTCATTGACGAGCCGGACCGAAATATCAAAGTATACACTTCACACGCACAACGCTTCTGTTGAATACTTCGGTTAAGTGGTTAGAAAGGCAATTACTCAACTTTTGGGACATCGTAAAAGGTACGTAATACTAGCTACATTTACCTAATTGCGACACTCGTTTAAATTGCTGTTAAATCCTTTAAAATACACGGCCATGCACTTATTTATACATAAAATGTCAACTTGATATATAGCGATTTTGAATTCAATTGTAGTATTCAACTCTCTCATTGAAAATAAGGTTATATTATTTTAGTTGAAAACAAATATCTTATATCATGTGAACGAACATTTGCTCTTAATCATAACACTATCTCAAAAGTGTAAATATCGTTCAATTCTAACTTATAAGCTAAGCAAACGTTTTGTTGACACGAAAATTTTCTCCAATGAATTGTATTTCCCGTTGGCTTTTTTGTGTTTACGTTTCAACATGTTGCTGGGCCGTTTGGAGTAACTTTGAGCGGTTATTTGAAAAGTTCATCTAATTGTAAATTGTCACCCCAATTAAAAATATATTTTCAACCTTCGGCAAAGCCCTAAAACGTAAAAAGGTCGAAATATAAATAATGATTTTGCCGCGACATGTGTTTATTTATATATACAGGTATATAATGCGTAGAGGTGACATTTAATAGGGACATTCATCATTGCACACAATTAAAACAGTAGTGTACATATTTTAAAACAACACAGACTTCCACGCACACACGGGAACAAAGCAATTGTATATAGGTCGTACACTTAGACATGCATCTATGATTCTCCGGGATTCATATATTGGCTCTGTGGTCAGTGTGTAACTTAATTATTTTCGCTCCTGTGTGGCAAATTGGTTTATATAATGCACTCCGGTAACTCTAAACCACACGGAGATATATGTTTAGCATGCATATTAATAATAACATGCAGCGCGGAAAAAATTTTATCGCCTGACCGAGCAGAAGGTTGTTGATATATATGTTACAATTCCATCAACTCAATCTTCGGAGAATATCTATTTTGCTTGTTGCAAAACTTCTTTTCGTTGGCTCTAGTTTACGTTAGTGTTTTCCCGATGTTTAATTAGAAACGTGTTATTTGTGTCTGTGCGACATATTTACTTCGCTCAACGACGCAAAAGAGTCACTTGTATTGAAGATTTTGATCATGCACAAGTGAGGTTTCTATAATTGTAGTATTTTTGTTATGATATTTTGGTATAAGCAATCTATTCTTAAATCTTGCGCTACTTGACGCTTTTCGTTTCCAAACAAAACTCGCATATATATACTCTCGTAAAGTTATAGTATATTATTATGCTAGACTAATTTTAGTATACATGCAGAGTTTTTCGATCAATTGGAAAACTTTACGTCTGTTTATAGATGAATTCATGTTTTCTTTCACAACTAGATGTAACATGTATGTCTTCCGTTGTAAAAATGATATACGCCGAATATATATACGATATATAGCTATGAATTCTGGGCTATCCTATTCTGCTATATTGCTGGCTGAGAAATGATCCTCAATTTCGAAACTTGATAAAAAATGGCAAGTGGCATACCCCACCTGCTGACAATAACAAATTATTTTGTTTAAAATTCAGACACAAAAGCTTCAAGCCAGCCGCATTCGAGAGCTATCAGCTGAGCAAACGAACGCGCGAAGCAGTTAGCTCAGCCCGAAAACCGTCCACACACGCGAGAAGCTTGCTTCTCGAGGCGAATTCCTTACGAAAAACTATCCGCACAACAGAATACTGCTGCATGAGTTAACAGCCACGCGAAGTCTTTAGCCCAGCTAATAGCTCACGACCTCACGTGTGCGGCGAGTTTAAGCCTGAAGGGCCTGTTTACATGGAGCGAGTTATCCCGGCTAGGCGGGAAACTGCATATAATGAAAGACTAATCAGGTTAAGCCTTTGATGTGATGCGCTTTTTACCTCGCCTATAGCCGGGGTAACTCGCTTCATGTAATCAGACCTTAATGGTCGACCATTGCTCTTCCTGTCACCAACTACACACGCGCTTGTTTTGTGAAATTGCATCCCGATTCAAAAACAGATTAATTTTTAATTATACAGTACATAAACTCTTTTGACAGTACATGAATGTTGTAAGGTTGTTTTACCTATAGGCCATAAAACGACACGCGAGTACGCGTATACTATTGTGTATAAAACACGCATGTCTGTGACCAGAAAACGACAGTTTGAACCGACAGAAGAAATAATATGGCTGGTGCATGATTTAATTAATCAAACAAGCCCTATGAACCATCTGGTATTCGTACAAATATGCAAGACAATTCCTTCAAAGTTCAAAAGAATAAACGTTTAAAGGCTCAGTACTTAACAGTCACTTATCGCGTCACGTTTCTATAGGTTACGCCATATGTTATATATTTACATATATTCAAGTCCTCGTCTGACGCTTTTCAAGTGCGTCCAAATCTTAGAAATCGCACTAATGCATGCACCTTATGGAAAAGGTTTTAAACTTTTTGAAGATTTTCGAGGCGCATATGTCGAAAAAAAAAGGAAGGAATACGTTGAATGATGCTCGAAAATGGCATCTTTCGGCTAAACTATATGTAACTTATTAAGTTGAGATTAACTGCAACCGCGATTCGAGGATTTTCCAACAACAAAAACAATTTATATTTCGAATTCACTCCATTGATGTGATCAAAATTTTAATGAAACGTGAAAGCCTATATATAGATCAGCGTATACATGAATATTCAGATTCCAGTGGAGATTTTTGGTGATTCGACTTCCTGTTTATACCGGACGACGAAGGACCTGCCCCTCGACCTGCCCGACTGTTCGACGACCTTCCTCAATAAATAGAACTCTTTCGTATTTAACTACTTAATTCACAAAATATTGTTACGGCTCTCCTAATCATAAAATGCATGCACTTCGAATTAATATAATATCATAGCTATTTTAATATGACTACATGTACGCATATGATATTATTCATGTGTTTTCACTGAAAAGAAGACTGAATGTCGGCGCTTGTGTCACAATATATCTGCATTTTGCAAGAGTAATTAATAGTGATAGACCGCGTCCATGCAGTTGAATAACATTATTATATAAATGCCGAAATGCAACGCGTGTTTTTCAGACAGGAACAAATTCACCAAGTTCCATCTTGTGAATTTTGAATCATTTGCCAAGAACCGTGCATCAGTGCATGATCTGAGAGGTGATCTGAAAACGCCGTGGGAGATTTATGTAAGTTATAAAGTAAATTAGATTTTAGACTTCAACCTCCCTTCCCTCCGCCCTCTTTCCAAAGATTCTTCTACGATTTACCAAAAATTACTCTGGTTCATTCATGCTCAACTAATGGGCCTAATAATGATCCTCACATGGTAGCACGAAGAAACATGTTATCGGCGAGATTCCTTTCAGACTTTATCCGCTTTAGAAAAATAAAGCTTTGCGAAGCGTCCCAAACCCACACCAGCCCCCCCCCCCCTGTTCCCTCCGTGACTACACACCGGGCTGAACTTGACCTAGAACGCTCGTTTTTCTTTTGTTATTCTAAACGAATCTGTCTTGATCGTAGTGCGTCGGCTTTCTTTTAATCAGAATGTTGCAGATTTATCATTTTATCCATCAACGACAATTGTTGATATGTTGCGAAGAAGCACTTGAAATCTCGTAAAAATTCTCATGATTACAAAAAGAGGAGCATCATATCGCCACCTGCTATACGCGGATGAGCCAATATTTGATTTCTGTGTTTTCAGATGATCTCTTAAAGAATGGCTTGTTTAACATCCGCCCGGATTCGTTCGGACCGACTTTATATTTATTATTTATTAACTCTTATTTAAAAACGGTAACGCTTTAAGACACATATAGAGGTGATGTACGACTCCGTAAATAAGAAATTCGTCATTTTCGCGCCAAACCCAGTGTTGTTTGCATACGCCATAATTTATGACGAAGCGCGTTGTCGTTTGGTTTTGCCGGGCCCGTATACTCGTACTCGCAAGCCTACGACTCGAACTACGCTTTCTGAACTCGTATCTACATTGATATATTCGTTGCCACACCAGTTTCATCGGTCGAGAACTGAGAACATTAAAAGGGCTAAAAGCCTTCATGACGCGTGGGCTGTTACTGAAACATTTCATATCTATAAATTTACAGCGAAATTAAAATTTACTAGAAAATTCGAAGAAGACACTGAAATCAACTCCCACATGACCGATAAAATATTCGGGAAATCAATCAAATATTATTCGGGGTCTAAATGCATCGAATCTTACTACACATCAGTTCTAAAGGAACATAATTCATTTTTATCCTTTTATGAAATTAATTTATATTATTGAAGAACAGCGTTGCTACTTTTCAGGATTGCTGGGCGAAACACGTGCGCAAATGCATGATCATAAATAGATAACTGTGGGGCAAATTGCTTTCCCTGGTGGTCCGGAAAATCCGATATCTTTAAATCGTATACGCCGAGTAAAAATGCAGCTACATGACAAATAATGTGGGAGGGCATAAGGGCAGCCACTCATCTTCCCCTTCATCCCAGGGGGTCGTGGGGTACTGATAGCATATTGCGGTCACGGGGGGGGGGTTTGCACTGTGCTAAGAACGCCGCAAATCTCTACTTTTTTATTTGAAGCATTTAGTCGCGGACTGAAATTCTGAGCTGAACTGTTCTTGATAATACTGGCTGTTATGTTAATTTCCGTTGAGATCATTAAACAAAGAACTATAACTTCATATTTCTCACATGGAATATCCATGCATGAAGGTTGTTCCAATACTACTTTTACCGATCGATACCTATACCGAATTCTTATGTTCTTGGCATTTGGAAATTCAAGTTGATTGTGCATCACATTTCTGTTCAATTCACTTAAATCTTCGCACGGTATACAATAGAAAATTTGAATGATTTTTGAGTCAATCAACTGAAATAAAGGCCATTTTATTCCGCCATGTCGCAACTCGTAAACGTTCTAACAGAAATAGTTATTAATATCTCGTCGTTTGATGTATATAGTTTGCTATATTTGAACAAAAAGTTGGCAGATACGTCCGCGATAATAACTGA